ATTACATGCATCTGGAAAAAATTTTTTTTTCCAGCTGCATGAAATATTTTTGCTGAATTATATGTTTTAAAGATCGCAGATTCTAAAAATAACTTCCGTTACATCCCATCACGTAAAGGTTTTTTGCAAAATAAAAACAAATTTTTGATGAAAACTCTTATTTATTACAATGAATTAAATATATTATATTTTTTTACAATTAATCAACAAATTGTTTCTGATATTTATACACAATTTTAGGTCTAGTCTTTTTACTTATGAAACCTTTTCTTTTTTTGATGCTTCTCCAAACTCGTTTCCGATTTCCTTCTCTGGTTTCTTGATTTAGCATCCAACAGTAGTCAGTTAACATATTGACATCCCATTTTCCTTGGTAACATCTCTCGATATCACGGACATCCTGGTGAAATCTTTCACCCTGTTCTTCATTGTAGGCTTTTAAGATTTTGGGAAAATAGTCAATATGGGAGTGTAAGAAATGAACTTTTAAGCTCATCTTGCATCCTCGAGCTTCATACGTTGCTGCCAGCATGCTTTGTGCAATGGTTTTATAGTCAGGGTCTTTAGTATTCTCCAAAAACTTATGCACTACATTCTTGAAAGAGTCCCATGCTTCTTATTCCTTTTCTCCCATTGTTTCCAAAAACCTGCTTTGTCTTGATCTCCAAGTTTCAATTTGAAATACGCAAAATAAACTTTCTTCACAAACTCACTTATGTTTCTTTGTTTACTTTTCACTGTGTATTCACTACAAATATAATAGAAGATGTCGGGAAGCCTCTGCGAGCCATATTCCAGAAATAAAAATATAAGCACAGTAGCGTTCGAATGCTGGATATAAACTGAGTATGGCATTAGATGACCAGCGAGATACTGAACTTATTTAGCTTGTTGAAACATGATCTAATCCAACAGCAGGTTGTATATATTTATTCATAGTATCTCAGATAACTTGTCGAAACATGCTCAACCTCACCAATAATATTACTCACTATCAACTTTTAACCTGTTTCTATACGATCATGCACCTTCTTCCTAACGCTAAAACTACTTAACCCACCTGCCGCTACCAGTACTCTCTTCAACCATTAACATTTTTATTTATTTATTACCAAGTCCAGCTATAATTGATAGAATTAATGTGAGAAGTCTTTGTTTTAAGGTCATTTTTTAATTTAAAAAAATTACTAAAAAGTTAATTAGTAATTTTACGCTAAATACAAACAAAAACTTGAGTGTAACAAAAAGAAAAATTGACGAGACAGAATTTTTTTGGTATTTTTTCGTTTTTACCAAGTTGAAATCTGTAAGAAAATGTATAAAAATCCTATGCAGTTTTTTACTTGCAGACCTGTGTTATCATTTTAAGTGGCTCTATCAGATATATCGGCGCATTGTCGCAAATAATTTTTACATGAATATGACAGCTTCGCATAGATTATATAAACATCAGTTATATTCGTTTATTATATGTAAAGTTTCGCCTAATAAAAATAATAATCAAAACTTATTTGATGATCATTAAGATTCTAAACAAAGAAAATATAGATATTAAAGTAAACAATTCATACAAAATTCTTAATTAAATATTATTAAATTAAAAAGAACGGCGATATTGTTTTTGCACCTGGACATCCAGCGACAGAAAAACATCTGATATGTAAAAAACTTACTCCAAGTAAAAATTTATGACAATTTAGACGACAGTCAAATTGATTTTAGAAATTTTAATTTAATAAAGATAAGTTTGGACTTAGAATTAAACTGTAGGAAACAATAATACAGGTAAAATTCTTATGGGTACCGCTTCGAATCGCCGAGCTTAGATTTACCAATGGAAAACTCCTAAAAACAATTTGATTGTCGTCTAAATGGTCATAAGTTTTTACTTGATATAATTTTTTTATATCTCAAATGCTTTTGTTTATTAATTGTATTAATACGTCAAGAGATAATACGATGACGTACAATTCGGTGTACACTCGGCGACGGTCGAATGAACACAAATGCTATCAGTATTCATTTCGGTCGGCGCCGACCGACGCTTTCGATACACCGTTCAGAAAAACCGTTATAAAAAGTTTTAATTAGCGTAAATTTGAGCATTTGTAATTAAGAATTACATTTTAAATAAAAATCATTTGTATCCACTCTATTTTATTCCTAAAAACATAAAATTAAACCGTAAAATTGAATTTGCTCTATGAGGGAAACCCCCGTCAACTCCGACCAATCGACTAGGAAGTTTTGTCAGCATCTCACTGATAAAGAAAAAGGTATAAGTTTAAAATTTGAGCTTTCTACACCGAGTAATTTCTTCTCTCCGAGAGTCTGTAGTGAGAAATGAAGAAAATGAGAAGAAAATACAGCTTTTCAGATTTTTGATTTAGACAAAATCGTGAAACTTTGCATACTTTCCTAAGAAAACAATTTTCATTTGAACGAGATATTCGAAATTACTATAGGTGTTTGAAAGGGCTGAGGAATAGACTCCCGAAAATTAGCAATTCTGATTCCTGTATAGATAGTCAGAGACTAATTTACCTTGCGGGTAGTTACTGACATGATTTTAGATATGTTATCGTTACGAGTTGTACTTCTAAGTAAAAAATAGTTTAAATAGATTTTCCATCATTTTCGAAACCACGATTGAAATTTTGAAGTATTTGAACACATTTTTCTTATTTAATAAACTTAAAATACGAATATTTTATATTTTATTTTACTACGAAAATTCTACTAATTGGCAAATCGTCGTTACAGGTTCAAATAATGTTAGAAACTGAATTGTAGAAATTTTTCACTTATTCAAAATGTTTTACATGAATCAAAAGTTGAAGTTCTTACTAACTTAAAAACTTGCGAAATTATATTATTTTATGTGAAGAAAAACAATATATTTTATAACACTTTGAATTATTTTTACACGACGAAATTATATACCTTAAAAATAATAATAAAAAATTAATGATTTTCCAACGATAATTAAAATTTAAAACAGATGCGAAATAGCGATTGGCAGAGAATGAGAAAACAATTAATTATACTAATCAGCATTTTCCACTAGATTTAAACGACTATAAATAGAATGGAAACATGGCCATTGCTATAACTAATCATGATCTTCTATTTTGCAATATTTTTCCCATTTGTAGTCGTTTCGGCCATTTCAAGTGGTAAGACAATATTGTTTTTATTAAAATATTAATAATATTCAAGAGTTTTTAATATACAGTTTTGAAGGGATATTTTTAAGTGTCTGACATTAATAAATAAACAGGTCGAGTTGACGTCCTGGTGTTTCCGTCGGTGGAAACATCGAGATCTGGAGTGAAGACGGTCAAATTCCGAGCTCTAAACAAAGAAATAGAANTGTTTGAAAGGGCTGAGGAATAGACTCCCGAAAATTAGCAATTCTGATTCCTGTATAGATAGTCAGAGACTAATTTACCTTGCGGGTAGTTACTGACATGATTTTAGATATGTTATCGTTACGAGTTGTACTTCTAAGTAAAAAATAGTTTAAATAGATTTTCCATCATTTTCGAAACCACGATTGAAATTTTGAAGTATTTGAACACATTTTTCTTATTTAATAAACTTAAAATACGAATATTTTATATTTTATTTTACTACGAAAATTCTACTAATTGGCAAATCGTCGTTACAGGTTCAAATAATGTTAGAAACTGAATTGTAGAAATTTTTCACTTATTCAAAATGTTTTACATGAATCAAAAGTTGAAGTTCTTACTAACTTAAAAACTTGCGAAATTATATTATTTTATGTGAAGAAAAACAATATATTTTATAACACTTTGAATTATTTTTACACGACGAAATTATATACCTTAAAAATAATAATAAAAAATTAATGATTTTCCAACGATAATTAAAATTTAAAACAGATGCGAAATAGCGATTGGCAGAGAATGAGAAAACAATTAATTATACTAATCAGCATTTTCCACTAGATTTAAACGACTATAAATAGAATGGAAACATGGCCATTGCTATAACTAATCATGATCTTCTATTTTGCAATATTTTTCCCATTTGTAGTCGTTTCGGCCATTTCAAGTGGTAAGACAATATTGTTTTTATTAAAATATTAATAATATTCAAGAGTTTTTAATATACAGTTTTGAAGGGATATTTTTAAGTGTCTGATATTAATAAATAAACAGGTCGAGTTGACGTCCTGGTGTTTCCGTCGGTGGAAACATCGAGATCTGGAGTGAAGACGGTCAAATTCCGAGCTCTAAACAAAGAAATAGAAGTGAAATTAGAACCTGCTGGCGAAATATTGGCGGAAAACTTCGCACTGCTTGATGCGAACAATCGAATACTTCCCTCGGTAAGTCAGTTTTTTAAATTATTATTCTTTTTCATAAGGTTATACAGTAGCTTTATTTACAACACTAGCTGCAAGGACCCGCTTCGCTGGGTTTTTATTTGTATGTAATATAGTTTTATATATATATATATAAAAGACTGTCTTTTTAAGTAATCTAGAATCTAGCTGCAAGGACTCGCTTCGCTGGGCAAAAAGTAACGATAGTGAAGATTAAGATAATTACATTATAGCTAATCTTACCCGTTTTCACAGAATGCAAGAATTAGGTCCCCCGTTTCCAGACTAATTAGATAATTTTTACCTTTAGTCAAACAAACTATTTTCAACGTTTCTGGAACGTTTACAATCGTTCTATAATCGAATCAATATTCGAATTTTATGTTCGAATTTAATTCGAACAAATTCGAACAAAACATTCGAAATAGAAAGCCACTTTCAACTACTTTCAGCCACATATCTACCGCACCCTTATAGCTATCGAGACGCAACCACCCCTATGCACGAATGGAGACTTGGGGATACCACCACATACAAACACCATTCACGTGCGATGTGTAGTTTTTGCAAAAAAAGTGAAATATAGGGACATACATGTCCATTTATATATATATATATATATATATATAGATATAGATTTATCTAGTGTTCTTCCTAGTCACCATTTGTGCTGGATGCAACATCTCAATGGTATAAAGTAACGTGTGTACTCGGCTTCTCGCAATAGCCGCAATAATCGAAATAGTCGAAATTATAAAAAAGTATTTCGGGAGTTCGATGAACGAAAAGAGGGCAAGTGGAAGTAGCGAAATTTCAAAGTAAAGAAATTGAACTTGTCCGAACTGAATATATTTATGGCAGATTGGAGATGAGCAATTCAAAAATGGCCAGACTTAAACTACGTGATAGAATTATTTGTTGTATACATTTGCAGACAAAAATACAGTGTCAAGAAAAGAATTACCATGTGTTCGAAAAACAACTAACTGTCTTATATTAAAAATGTAATAGATTTCACTTACAAAATGCAATTCGGATTGTTATTATGACATTCGTTAATCACAATGTTACTAAATTTACATACTGTACCAGTATATTTGTATTAGGATTATATATTTTGATGAAAATAGTAAGTCTACATAAATACTTAAATGTTTTAAGATCGAAGTACAAGACTTGAAAAGAAAAATGTACAGAAATAGCACTAATGGAGCAGCTTTGTTGATCGATGAAGAAGGACCTGTCAAAATTGTAATTATTACTATTATTAATAATTATACGTATTTTTGTACAGAATATAGTACTTTTATGCATATTTTTTAGGAAGGAATTGTGAATTCAAACTTGAGAATTGAACCGTATGAGTCGGGAAGGACGGATAGAGAGGGAAGAATTCCTCATCAAATTGTGAAAGTTATAAGTGACAAAAACTCTTTTGGCGATGACGGAGGTATACACAGAAACATTTTTAATTTTTAATACTTCGCAGCTTAGGTTTTGTTAACCTATTAACTTTGTTTTCCAGTCATGCCTATAGGTGTTAAAGAAACAGTAGAGAAAGTGGAGAGAATGGCCAGAGACGATCAGTGCATAGTGCTGAAATATCTGATCTTAGCAGAAAGTAACTTTACCAGACATTTAAAAAAACAGGAATATCTAGAAAAGTTTGTTGCTCGCCTGTTTATTCAGGTAGGATATTATTTGTTACATGCATTTAAATGTAATATAATAATATTTAACTTTAGATTAAAATTGATATTTTTGTGATGTTTTTATTTATTATTCAGGTACAAAACATGATTGATACGTTAGNGATGACGGAGGTATCAAGGCCTATACACAGAAACATTTTTCATTTTTAATACTTCGCAGCTTAGGTTTTATTAACCTATTTACTTTGTTTTACAGTCATGCCTATAGGTGTTAAAGAAACAGTAGAGAAAGTGGAGAGAATGGCCAGAGACGATCAGTGCATAGTGCTGAAATATCTGATCTTATCAGAAAGTAACTTTACCAGATATTTGAAAAGAGAGGAATATCTAGAAAAATTTGTTGCTCGTATGTTTATCGAGGTAGGATATTATTTGTTACATGCATTTAAATGTAATATATTAATATTTATCTTTAGATTACAATTGATATTTTTGTGTTGTTTTTATTTATTATTCAGGTACAAAACATAATTGATACGTTAGAATTGGGAATAAAACTTTCCGTTATTGGAGTTATTTTGTACAAGGTAATTGAAGAAAATGCGTAATTTATCCATCAACTATATTTATTTGTTTAATTTCCTTTGCAATTACAGAGAAATACGGATCCATCTTATATACACGAGAGTGCAATACCGGGATACGAACGACATCTTAATGCTTACGACTTACTTGATAAAATGTCTTACTATTACTGTTATCACGCTACTGGTTTGGCTGTAGATGCTGATATTATCATGCTAATTGTCAAGTAAGTATTATATTATTGATATTTATAGATTACAGTTTGAGTAATTTCAATATTTATTACTAGTCGTAAATTGGGCTCGCTAAATAAAGATAATTCAGTTAGTTTGAATGTACTCGGTAAGTATTTTTCTGTTTTCTTCTACGTCACCTAAAATTGTTTCTACGTACTTCCAAATAAATTGTCTTATAGGCATTGCGTACACAACCGGTGTTTGCAAGAGATGTACTAAAGTTGGCGTGGTTACTATCGATCCACTCAATCATCCTGATAGAGCTTGGGTAGTAGCACATGAATCAGGACATCTGTAAGTAACTTAATATATTACATTAAATGTAGAAATATTCTAAATTTGAAACGAAATTTTAGACTTGGAAGCGTGCACGACGGAGAAGATGCCAATAAAATCGGATTTCCTGGAAATCCTGGAGCATTAGATTGTCCATCATCAGACGGATACATTATGGGAGGTCGAAGAAATGGTAACGAGAATAAATTTTCCAAATGCTCTAAAGAATCCATCAAATATACATTATCGTAAGCATAATTTTAATTATATATTTAAATATTTTAGAAATAAATACATTAATAACACAATTTTTTGAAGGAAATCACGTTGTAAATTTGAAGAAGATTGCAAATCTTATTAATTCGTATTTTGTGGGATATTTTATGTTTAATTAAAAAATATTATTTTAAATGATAAAATAAAATATGAGTTGGATTTCGTATATATTATTTGATCAAGTTTTAATTTAGAAATAATTTGAACTAAATAAAATAGTTATTATATTGTCAAATTTTGTCGTGTGTCTTTTTTCTGTTGCTGTTCAGACATTAATATCACCCATTGCCTTTTTACTTTCTTAATAACAATCGTATGCATTACATTAATAAAGTAAAAATTCCGGTCATCAAGAAATGAAATTTGTGTCTGATTAGGAATTGTGAAAAATGAAAAAATTTATGTATGAAAAATACAATTAAAAATTGATTAAAAAGTGACATTATTGAAGTATATAGTGAAGTTCATTTGAAATAAAATATTACAAGCAGTTTAAGATTATCGATAAATTAATATTTTATCGAAGCCAAAAGTAGTCAAGAGCTCATGTTAAGAGGAAAGAGAAACATAAAATAATACACGACGTTTACGTAAAAACCTAACCAACGTTACAATTTACGACTCAATTTACTGAACTTAGTACTTATTGTACATTATATATGATACGTTATTAAATAAAGCTACATTAGTGTTAGATCAACTGATAAGACGATAATGAGAATTAGTGTTTCCCGACTCTCCGGAAAAACAAAAGAAAACACTGAAAAGAAGATAAAACAAAAAACTTGCACATAATACAAAAGAATTTGCTTTTCGTATTTTATTCGTACAGAAAATAATAATACAATTAGCAATTAAACGCTAAAAATTCTAATTATAAAATCCCATAGGAATGTGTGAAAATAAATATTGAAATCGTATATTTTTCTCAGTTTCACTTTAAAGATTTTAACTTAATGTTTTCGCTCATATTTGATTTCAAAAATTACAATAAGCGATCGATCTCTATATTACAGTTCGGCGGCCAATAGAAAACGTACACGCTTCAAAAATATGTTTTATATTTTGATTTTCATGACATAGTATAAATATAATTTCTTACAAAAAATTAAGTTGTATGAAGATAATGTTTATAAAAATAAATTAACAAAGGTTTTTATATATTCTTATTGTCGTATTAATTTTATTTATAATATAGTAGGCATTAGCAGATGCATCGAATGGCGAATTTAAATGCTATCCTCAGAACACTGTTAAATACAAAACACACAGTTAAAGCAATAAACACATATGTCGTCCCAGTACTCACATACTTTTTTGGATTTACACATTGGACTCACACAGATCTCGAGCTACTCCAAAGGAAAACAAGAACAACACTTACTAAGCGTAAACAACATTATCCTAAATTCGCCATAGAACGATTAGCCTTTCCAAGTAAAGATGGTGGACGTGGCATGATTGTCATAGTAGACCTTCACTACAAACAAATACAGTCACTGCGAGAGTTTTTCTACAGGAAACAAGAAACATCACAATTACATAAAGCAGTAACTCTAGCAGACTCAAATAACACACCATTAAACTTACACTCATATCATACAGACATGACACAACATATAAAAAGCATAGACACCATCAAGCAATCGTGGGCTCGTAAGGCACTCCATGGCAGTCATCTTTATGACCTGGCCCAGGATTTTGTTGACAAAACTGCGTCAAACAGCTGGTTAGATCGGGGATGCCTCTTTGGGGAGACGGAAGGATTCATGATTGCCATACAGGATCAGGTCATAAATACTAAAAACTACAGAAAACACATACTCAAAGATACAACACTCACAAATGACACATGCAGAAAATGTCACATCATGCCAGAAACTATACAACACATCACTTCTGGTTGCAAGCTCTTGGCACAGACAGATTACTTACATAGACACAATCAAGTAGCAAATATAATACACCAAGAGCTTGCAAAGAAACACAAATTGGCAGACATCCACGAACCATACTACAAGTATATTCCACAGACAGTATTGGAAAATAACACGCACAAAATGTATTACGACAGAGCCATAATCACAGATAAAACAATTTACCACAACAGACCAGACATCACACTCATTGACAAACACAATAAAATCACATACATTATAGACACTCACAATGTACAAAACACATGCACTGAAAAAATTAGCAAGTACACAGAACTTGCCCAGGAAATAAGGCATCTATGGAGGATGGATAGGTTGCTTATTGTACCTGTCCTTCTCTCCTGTACAGGTGTGATACCACACACACTACACAAAAAGCCTGGAAACATTACAATTGAATAGAAATACATACATCACACCACAGAAGGCCACTATATTGAATACATGTCATATTGTTAGGAAATTCCTGAATACTGACACTGACACTGACACACTTATTTAATTTCTTTTGGTTGCTATGCCTTGACTCTGGTCCGGCATAGTACACAGCCACTGGTTTAAACCGAGTATTACCCACTAAACTCAACATAATAATAATAATAAGCGGAGAGTCCAAACGGTTAGGAGTTGAAAGTTGAAATTTTGTACAGAGTTAGGGTACGTTACGAGAATGTACAGTACACTAAGAAGGAATTTTTCGAAATTCCTTCCCGGGGGAGAGAGGGAGAGATTTAAGGCTTATCCTAAGAAACAGCTTCTACTGTACTGTTTTAGATGCGATTTTTTTTATTTTTATTTTTACTGCGCTTTAGATTTTAGGATTTAAAATTAATCATTTTATTCAAATACATAGTTCTTACGCCCGGTGAAAATGGGTAAGATCGGCTATAATCTAATAATCTTAATCTTCGCTTCTGTTACTTTTTGCCCGAGCAACGCCGGGCTCATCTGCTAGTTAAATATAACTATTAATTACAAAATATACGCAACCGTAGACGGTAATCAACTGTTAGTTATTTTCCCTTAATTGTGTTGATTCTTTGACTCTAATCATCATCAATATATATTATAAAGGTAAGTGTACAATGTCCGTGCCGCTAAAACTCAAAAACGAGTCCCGATGCGATTAAGGGAGTTATATGGTGTGGTAGCCCTCTATCCCCCATCTATGAAGAAGGTTCCCGTTTTTACCTGAAAGGCGTGCTGTTGAAGATATAAGGGCTGGAAGTTTCGCCATCTAGAAATTTCTAGAACAGTCCAGAACATTCGAGAGTATTCCAGAACATTCCAAAACATTCCAGAATGTTCCGGGATGTTCTGGAACGTTCGGGAACATCCCGGAACATCCCAGATCATTGTGCAACATTCCAGAACACTCTCGAACGTTGTGGAATGTTCTGGAACATTATGGACCATTCCAAGCCTTTTTTGTATGAAAGGGACTACCTACTGGTGGAGGTATATAAAGCAAGATCCGTCGTGGATCTTGTTTCAGTTCGTCAGTTTCAACTAATCTATATATATATATATAAATGGGCGTGTGTATCCCTATATTTCACTTTTCCGCCAAAACTACACATCGCACATGAATGGTGTTTGTATGTGGTAGTAGCCCCAAGTCTCCATTCGTGCACTATGGTGGTTGCGTCTCGATAGCTATAAGGGTGCGGGAGATATGAGACTGAAAGTGGTTGAAAGTGGTTTTCTGTTTCGATTTTTAAAATGTTCGAATTTGTTCGAATTTAATTCGAACAATATTCGAATTAAATTTCGAATATTGGTTCGATTATAGAACGATTGTAAACGTTTCAGAAACGTTGAAAATAGTTCGTTTGACTGAACAGGAGACGTTCAGAAATAGAATCGGGACCAGGTGTCTAATTAGTCTGGAAACAGGGGACCTAATTCTTGCATTCTGTGGAAACGGGTAAGATTGGCTATAATGTAATTATCTTAATCTTCACTATCGTTTCTTTTTGCCCACAAATAAAAACCCAGCGAAGCGGGTCCTTGCAGCTAGTCTATATATATAATCGAGACGGGTTGATAATAATAATAATAAGCGCAGAGCCCAAACGGTTAGGAGTTCCAAAGTTGAAATTTGGTACACAGTTAGAGAATGTACACTAAGAAAGGATTTTTTCGAAATTCTCCCCACGGGGGAGCGGGACAGGATTAACGTTTCGACAATGGAAGCGTTAAGAGAAAGCAACGTGCAAGATTTACAGGCGCAGATGCGGTTTTTTGCGTTTTTTGGAGAAATCGAACATATTTTTAGCCCCATCTAAAAATTTTATAATTAGTCTGGAAACAGGGGGACCTGGTTATTGCATACTGTGAAAACGGGTAAGATTGGCTCTAATGTAATAATCTTAATCTCCGCTATCGTTACTTTTTGCCCGAGCAACGCCGGGCTTATCTGCTAGTGAACATATAAATAAATTATAGTTACAATTCACATGTCAGTATCCATAGATGTAATTCATTGCAGTTAAAACCCATGAAATACATAATAAGAGAAAAAATTTCATATCAGGATTTTTTTCATAAATTTTAATAAACTCCCTTTAATGAAAGCATTTTTATTTATTTGAAAAAGTGTTATTTCTACAGAATATTTCCAGAAATAAATTAATATTATGTGAACATCACCAATATTTTAGATATTTACATATAAAATGTGCTCTATATACTCTCAATTACCGTTATTTTCGATCAATTCGATCAATTGTCGAAAAGACAATTGGCACTAAAAGACCTGTTAAACATAAAAGTATATAAAGTAATATTTGCTTTAAATCATCAATTTTAATTTAGATAAAATGTCACTTACCATAGAAAATGTACAAAATGTTCTCTAGAACACGAAGAAAATTTCATTTTATTTGCACCTGTATCATCACCCATAATATAACCATCTTCACTTGGACAATGTACTGCTGTTGGACTACCAGGTGAGCCATCTTCTTCGTCTTCTCCGTCATGATCAATCCCAATTCTAAAACAGAGATTTCTAAATTTATCTATAAGTATCTTATT